TATATATGTAAACAAAATTTTCAATGGTGGCCAATTAGTCAATATAAGTATCTATTTAATCATATTTACATCAAAAGCTTTCCAATATTCAACCACTAGCTAGGAACGGTCAAGCCCGCCGTTTTGACCGCATTTTGAAACGGGCATAAAAAATTCAAAAAAAATCAAAAAATTGGAAAACCTTCGCATTGTGTCATTATATGTGACCAAGTTTCCAGGAAAAATAATAAACTTGTAATATGAAAATTATTTTTAAAAAGTGTTCTCAGAAATGAGCTATCATGCGTGAAGATTCATGGCTTTCAAGCCAAATGATCAATCTTATGGCCACATTCATGCCATATTTTGTTCAAATGATCTCATATTGTGCACAAGGGTGCATATTGGAATTCCAAACAATGTTTCTTAAGGAAGTTTTCACTTTCATTGCACAAAAGAGCCATTTTCCATTTTCTGAGTGCTCCAAATGATGTTTTTTTGTGAAGGACCTACCAAATAATTCATGCAAAATTGGACCAAATTATTTTTCTAAAATACTAGGCCATCTTCAATGCACAATTGACCAAATGGTTGGGTGTAAAAAGTTTTGATCCACCTCTGGTGAAAAAGACAAATTTCCGCCGATCTAGTTGGAAGCGGGTCAAATTTGAACTGCAGCTGCCTCATAGTTTGCTCTTTATTTTTTCCAAAAATCATTTCTAGGTACATAAGTATCTATTTAATCATAGAAACATCAAAAGTTTTCCAAGATTCAACCACTAGCTAGGAACGGTTAAGCCCGCTGTTTTGACCGCATTTTGAAATGGGCATAAACAATTCAAAAAAAATCAAAAAATTGGAAAACCTTCGCATTGTGTCATTATATGTGACCAAGTTTCCAGGAAAAATAATAAAATTGTAATACGGAAACTATTTTTAAAAAGTGTTCTCAGAAATGAGCTATCATGCGTGAAGATTCATGGCTTTCAAGCTAGATGATCAATCTTATGGCCACATTCATGGCATAGTTTGTTCAAATGATCTCATATTGTGCACAAGGGTGCATATTGGAATTCCAAACAATGTTGCTTAAGGGAGTATTCACTTTCATTGCACAAAAGAGCCATTTTCCATTTTCCGAGTGCCCCAAATGAGGTTTTTTTGTGAAGACCTACCAAATAATTCTTGCAAAATTGACCAAATCATTTTTATAAAATACTAGGCCATATTCAATGCACAATTGACCAAATTTTTGGGCGTAAAAAGTTTTGATCCACCTCTGGTGGAAAAGACAAATTTCCGCCAATTTAGATGGAAGCGGGTCAAATTTGAACTGCAGCTGCCTCATAGTTTGCTCTTTATTTTTTCCAAAAATCATTTCTAGGTACATAAGTATCTATTTAATCATAGAAACATCAAAAGTTTTCCAAGATTCAACCACTAGCTAGGAACAGTCAAGCCCGCCGTTTTGACCGCGTTTTGAAACGGGCATAAAAAATTGAAAAAAAATCAAAAAATTGGAAAACCTTCTCATTGTGTCATTATATGTGACCAAGTTTTCAGGAAAAATAATAAACTTGTAATACGGAAATTATTTTAAAAAAAAAGTGTTCTCAAAAATGAGCTATCCTGTGTGAAGATTCATGGCTTTCAAGCCAAATGATCAATCTTATGGCCACATTCATGGCATAGTTTGTTCAAATAATCTCATATTGTTCACAAGGGTGCCTTGGAATGTCAACCAATGTTGTCTAAGGAAGTTTTCATTTTCTTTGCACGGAAAATTCATTTTCCATTTTCCGAGTGCCTGAAATGAGTTTTTTTGAAGGACCTACCATATATTTGTTGCAAAATTGGACCAAATCAATTTTATAAAATAATAGGCCATATTTAATGCACAATTGTCAAAATGGTTGGGTGTTAAAAGTTTTGATCCACCTCTGGTGAAAAAGACAAATTCTGGCCGATTCAGCTGGAAGAGGGTCAAATTTGAACTGCAGCTGCCTCATAGTTTGCCATTTATTTATTCCAAAAATCATTTCTAGTTACATAATTACATATTTAATCATAAATACATGGTTTGGTGGCGATACGTCAAGGTTTGGACGGTGGGCGAGGGCCCCAACTCTAGAGCGCGTAACCTCGCATGCCCGCCACGTGGTCACCGCGTGACCATGGCGTTGCCATGTGTTCTGGGCGGCCTAGGTATGTCTAGTGGGTTGGGCACTCCCTAGGTAGGTGCTAGGAAGAAAATCACAAAATAATATTCTCATGAGGAGACTGGTTGATGCTCAAACATGAATAAGCAGCCAAGTGTTTGATTAGCGGTACGGGAAATGCACATGGCTAATGGGTGTGAGTTTTGACTGAGGATGATCAGTTATTAAGAAGACCGTCTTCACAAATTTTTAGCTCAAAAGGAGGATCCTAGGTTGTACTTGCTTTGCAAAGTACCACACTGGACATAAATACGAATGTTGAAGCTGGGCTCAAAATAATGAATGGATTGAGCTGGCATTTGGTGGAGGATGGTTATTTGGGTAGAGGAAAGCACTATAGAAAATGGATACCATTTGGACATGCCAAAATGGTACTTCCTTCACAAAGTGTTGCTCTAAATAGAATAGGAAAATGAATATTGTTGAATTATTTTTGAACTAGGCAAGGAAGGTTTTTGACATATTTGATGAAGATATAATCCAAACAATTTATGAGAATTTTTTAGGAATTTTCAGAATAACAGAAATATAGGTTGCTTCACAACCTAGGGCAAAAATTGACACATGGAGATGACACATAGGCAAAACTGATGAGATGGCGCCTAGTGATCACAACCCACCACAGTCTACAAGGCTATGACCATCTATATTGGTTGTTACCAACTAGAAATAAGGCAGCGGACCATCACTGTTTGCTTTATGACCATTTCGTGTAAGGAAATTATGACCTTTCTGACCAAAATGGTCTAATGGTTTAGGGTTTGGAGCCCCCCGAACAGCTTTTGACCAATTGGTCTCAAATGGTCAAAGATCTATGACCAATTCTTCCAGGGTCACTGACAGAAGGTCACTAGTTGACATATTTCTTGTAGTGACCACGGCATCCTGTTCATCCACCCCTCCACGGGCACCCCTCCACCGTCTACAGTTCATCCAGCCCTCCACACCACGGGGTCCTATTCATCCAGAGGCAACGCCATAGCTCACTGTTCATCCAAACCCCCCAGCAACGCTCACTGTTCATCCAATCGATCGGCTTCAGTTAGCAGCAGTAGCGAAGGAATCGCTCGATCGAGTTCAGTTAACAGCCATCGATCGATCACTTGGGTTCATTAACGCATAGCCTGCAGTGCAATCGCTCGAGTTCAGTTAGAGCCCAATGCCTTGCTCGGGTTCAGTTAGAGCCAACGCCTCGCACACACGCGCGTATGTGTAGGAGAGAAACGCGCATCGCTCGGCCCCCGACCTCCCACCGTAACCGGGAACTCCCCGAAATTTTCCTCGCCCTCGCTTCTACCATGGTTTTTTCCGTCATGTACGACCCAAAGAATGTCATGCAGCTGCGTCTCCAGCCCGCCCAGGACGAAAAGCCCATTTTCTGTCATAATTTTTTGTCATAGAAGTAGGAGCCCACCACATCTATGATGATACCGAGTTTTGTCACAATTATCGTCATAGAAGTGTCATATGTATGACAGAAAAAAATTCGTTCGGCCCAAAATGTCATGGATGTGTCTTTTTTTTTAGTGAGATCACTTCAATCAAGAGAAAATGCTATGTCAAACTCAAGGGAACATAGAGATGATATTTTTTCACTTCCAACTAAAAAAGGACGCAGCTAACTGCCACACGTGTGGCATACTAGCCATCTGCCCACACACCGTGTGTGGCGTGAGCAGGAGGCAGCCCACACGGGTTGTGTGTGGGAGAACATTAGAATTGCCCACACGTGTGGGCGCAACTACTTCGCGCCACACGCCCAACAAATTACTACTCATCTCCACTCCGTGCGTGTGGCACGAAGCAAAAATGCACACACATCCTGGCACGGCTACGTTAGGTACTCCCGCGGGATGATGATTTAATTAGTTGCCATCCGGGATGGCAGATGTAGTTATCCGGGGATGGCAAATGTAGTTGTTAAAGCATGACAACTCTATCTGTTTTGGTTAACTATAGTTGACATGTCTAATTTATGGTAGTTGCCACGTGTAATCAAACCATAGTTGTCGTGTGTGATTAACTACTTGCCACGTATGGTCAAACAGTAGTTGCCATGTGTGTTTACCTAGTTGCCATGTGTGGTCCAACCATAGTTACCATCTATGGTTAATCATAGTTGCCATGTGTTCTTATTTGGTTGCCACATACGCGCAACTGCAGTTACCGTCTTGCAATGAATCATAGTTGCCATGTACGCGTACTGCATTTGACATTCAAGTCGTGTGGGCGAAATCAGTTCGCCCACACGCGTGTGGACTATGTGTTGGCTGTGTGGACAGAAATTAGTTCGCCCACATAGCACATCTACCAAAACCGCGTGCTGCGGGCATGTGGACGAACTCTCCAATGCCAATACACCAGGCCCGTCCTACGTGGCACGCGAATTATGCCTCAATGTGTCAAGCTTTATGCAAACTCGACTAGACGGTCATCCACGCATGTGGGCGAGTTGCAAAACTGCCACATGTGTGGGCGTTAGTCTTTCCGCTAAAAAAATACATTTTCCACTTCTAGAACAGAAGAAATAGGGATCATCTAGCAGCAACTTACAACTACACAAGTTTTAAGTAGGAGAGAACAACTATAGGATTGCAACTACAAGCCCACAACAAAGATAGAGCAGGGGAAAAAAGACTCATCCTCACACACAACATCTGAACTGTATATACACAAGGCATACAGAAAACCCAGAATGAAGGAGCCAACAATACCCATTCTACTTGCACAAATAGATACCTTTTTTGTTCTGACACATTCGCAAGCGAGCTACAAAAGAGATACCAAGTTGACTTGATATGATCACATTGACCTGATAATATCCCTGGCTGCTGTCAGCTCAACAGGTAAGAGTCTAGCAATCAACTCTTTGAGAATAGATGGGCAACTGCTTTTTAGATGTTGGTAACCCTCAGTTGCGATCACCCTCTCCGGATTGGACGGAGATGCAAGGAACTCAAAGCAAGCCTCCTTGAGCCCATCGCAACTGTGATGCTCGATCAAAGCCAAACTAGTTGCAACCATGTTGCAGTCAATATTATTGCACAGTTTGTCCTCACATATAAACTTCAGCCTCTCGATGTCGTACCTGTCTGCCGCTACAAGTAGATGGCTAGCTGTCACTACATCATCTTGTGTTACACCTTCATTAGTGCTCTCAGGGAGTGAGTCCTTGTAGATGAAATGGAGCAAGGAGTTGAACACATCAGCTTCTATATCATCAATTTCGATGGAATCACCGACTTTCCCCCTCATGGCGCCAAAGAGCTTCGCCTTGAAGACCGGTGACCGAGCAGCAAGCACGGACCTATGAGCCAAGAAAATCTCGACACCTGCTCGAAAGCTGACGTCTGCTCCATCATTGCTTTTCAGGAGGCCACCAAGTTGTCAATGCAAGTCGCTTGGAGGAACCACAACGAACTGCTTTGCATGCATCTCTTGGCTGCGGATCATCTTCACCACGGAGACATCGCACCTGATTCTGAAACAATCGCCTCTTGGATGTGCTGATCTCTCCAGATCCTCCTGCTTGATAAACTCAGGGAAACCGTAACCGTAACCTTTGCTTTGGAAAATATGTTCTGTCACAGTTTTGATGTATGAAGGCACTGGTTCTCCACCCTTGTCAAGTAAGCTAAAGGTGAATTTCGCCTTCACATCCTTGGCATCAGCCGAATCAAGAATCAGAAATACATATCTGTGACCAGGTGCCTTGTAGCTATTTGGGTAATACCTCACAGCCCAGTTACGATCTACGACCATGAAAGGGATAGACGTGGTAAACTCATCAATTTTGAGAAGCTCCTTGGTTCTTGAGTACCCATCGATCTTGATCACATGCGTCCTCCTTTCTTCTTGGGCCACAATGGTCGAGGTGACTTTCGGACGCTCTGTCATTGACTGGACTTGGATTGTGTTGGACTTGGACGTGACTTTCGGATGGGTTGTGTTGGACTCGGACGTGACTTCTGGACGTGACTCGCTGAGGTCTTCCGGCGGCGGCACATTACGAGGACGACGGCGACGAAGCTTCTCCAGGCCGATGAAACCGCAGTTCTTCATAGTGAAGCCTACTGGCCCTTGCACAGCCATCACAAGATGATCGATCCTTTCACGAACTCTGGATACAAAGCATCGTATACATATCCTATATACTAAAGAAGTTCATCCCCACTATCTCAATTATCTTGACATGCACCCTATCCACCTCATCACACATGCCCCACACATGTCACCTCTTATTTTTCTTCACATGCAATCATCTCACCTCAGTGCATGTGACACATCAGCAGCCCGTCCCCACAATAAATGGCTCCTTTTCCAGCAAACAACGGAAGAGCCAAGGTTTAGACTGCACTTTTGGAACCAGGACAGTAGTTTCGTACGTGACACGTACCTGGCTTGGTTGTTGGTGATAACCCATGTAGCTAACACATGCCTCTTTGTTATTTTAGTCCTCGTATTAGCCCATCTATCTAATTAGATAATTCCCCGCGCGTTGCAGCGGAAAATTAAGCTAATAAAGAGTTTAGATGTAAATAATAAACAAATGGTTCTGAAATAGTAAAACTACTAATGTTATGCTAGTCTGGAATGGTAATAATATCATGTAGTGCATGAAATCAAGATGTGACCGTAGACAGAGGTGATTGTATAAAGAAGTCGAAGATGCTTATTTCCTTCTGATCAGCTGAGCTACACATTAAAATAAACATATTTGCTTCGTTTTTTTCCTGCTGGTTGCAGCCATTAAAATTTATGCAACACCTTAAAAGATATACGATCTAACTATAAAAAAAAGCATTAAAAGATAATACTAAATGAATCTCTATTGAAGCACATAGTACTAATTAGCATATTAGCGGGACATTGTTTTTGTTTGTTATTCCTCTTTCCATTATGCGGTCAGACAAAGCGAACAAAGCAACAATAGTAGAAAACATGGCTATCATTCGGGCCTGGCCAGCCCATTAGTCCCGGTTCTTCAAGAACCGGGACCCATGAGGGGTATTAGCAATATTTTAAATAGCATGCTATTTCGCCGTTATAACGCGGTTATAGCATATTTGAAAGGGAGACGTTACGTCTTGACAAAATCGGACGCTACGGCGCTAATCGTGTAATTAGTGTGCTACACACGCTATAACGTTGTAACGTTGTAACGTTATAACATGCAGACCATGCAAAACTGAAATAAGCATAGCCCAGCAGGCCCAGCAGGCCAAAACCAACCCACGACCACTAGCTTTCTCACTCCTTTTATCAGATTCTCCCACTATCTTTCTCACTCCTTTTATCAGATGCATCTATTGCTTGCTCCTATGAAAAATTTAGTTGCTTAAATACTTTATTTCTAGATATATTTGATTTTTTTGCAAACGCTATTTTGAAATATAGCACGCTATTAGCGCACTATAACTTGTGTAGCATTTAGAGAAGGGCCTCGCTATATTTTGTAGCGCGCTATTTAAAATATTGGGTATTAGGCCTGGTTCGTGAGCCCAGGGGGGCGGTCGGGGCCTCGTGGGCATTGGTCCCGGTTCGTATGGAACCATTTGTCCCGGTTTCAGGCATGAATCGGGACCAATGGGCCTCGCTCCTGGCCCACAACCATTGGTCCCGGTTCGTGGCTTGAACCGGGACAGAAGGGGGGCTTTAGTCCCAGTTCATGCCACGAACCGGGACAAATAACTTGCCTATATATACCCCATCGCCGCGGCAGAGCACTCCACAGGGCATTTGGGTGCTCTAGTTCACCTCCTATGCACATGAGGTGTTCGATGAAATGCCCCAGCCACACTAGTTAATCTTTCTCCTCTCGAAACTCGACCTCCGACATCCATTTTCCCCGAGATTTGTCTAGGTTTAGCGGTCCGTCACGTTTCGTCCCCGTCTTCACTGCCGTTGATCACCCGCCCCGATCTCGTCACCGGCACCACCGTGGTGAGCCTCTTGTTCTTATCTTCTTTCCTAAAGAAAAAATTCTTACTTCAGATAGATACTTCTCTAATTTTCTTACTTTTATTATTCCTTGTTATTATATAGTCCGATGGTTTTGGTATCCGCCCCCGTTGGCCCTCGTCTTGTCTATGATTCAGATGTGGTATATATTATCTTTTCATAACTATTTGGTTCATTTATTGTTTATGACAATTATGCCGACCAATGTGACATATATTTTATTTATCTAGGAGGTTGTTGAACCGGAAATTCCAACCGACCCTATTATCGAGAGGTTAAATTTAGTTGAAGAAGAAAACAATTACTTGAAGGAAAAATTGAGGAGGAGAAAATGATATTGGAGTTGCATGTTGTGGATGTTGTCGATGATCACAAGATCAAGATGGATGCAATGCGGTTGAAGATTAAAAAGTTTAAAAAATATGCCATTCATACTGAGGTTTAGTATCATTATGCAGTTGGATCAGTTGTTACCTTGGTTGCGATTATGATCGCATTTGTTGTTGCATTGAAATGTTTTACATAATTTCAATGTATGGTTTAATTAAATGCTCTGGAAAGCTATACGTTGTTCAATGAGAACTATGTATTTACTTCGGTTTTAATGTGATGATTTACTTCTATTAATGATGATATGTGGGTGAAATGATGATAGCATGCCAACTTGGAACCTTTTTAGAGTTCATTTCAAATGCTTTTCAATTTCATGGTCTTATAGATCAAAATAATCAGTAAATGCATGAAAAATAACAAATGAAGTCAGAAAGGGTTGCAAATTGATGATGTGGCTTTGAATGGTTCATTTTGAACACAAAAAACTATGGAGTTCAAATAAGTTCAAAAAAATCCCATTGTAACAGACGAGTTTCCGTATGAAACCCTGATACTTCGAAAGAGATTGTCAGTTTTGTACACGAAGTGCATCCAGTTTTTGCCGTAACCCTCTCTACATTCTCGCACATGATATGTGGGTGAAATGATGATACCATGCCAACTTGGAACAATTTCAGAGTTCATTTCAAATGCTTTTCAATTTCATGGTCTTATAGCTCAAAATAATTAGTAAATGTATGAAAAATAACAAATGAAGTCGGAAAGGGTTGTAAATTGATGATGTGGCTTTGAATGGTGCATTTTGAACATAGAAAAACTATGGAGTTAAAATAATTTCAAAAAATGAAATCCCTTTGTAAAAGACGAGTTTTCGTATGAAACCCTGATACTTCGAAAGAGATTGTCCGTTTGTACACGAAGTGCATCCAGGTTTTTTTAGTAACCGTCTCTACTTTCTCGCACATGCTATGTGGGTGAAATGATGATACCATGCCAACTTGGAACCTTTTCAGAGTTCATTTCAAATGATTTTCAATTTCATGGTCTTATAGCTCAAAATAATCAGTAAATGCATGAAAAATAACAAATGAAGTCAGAAAGGGTTGTAAATTGATGATGTGGCTTTGAATGGTGCATTTTGAACACAGAAAAACTATGGAGTTCAAATAAGTTCAAAAAAATAAAATCCCTTTGTAGCAGACAAGTTTCTGTATGAAACCCTGATACTTCAAAAGAGATTGTCCATTTTGTACACAAAGTGCATCCAGTTTTTGCCGTAACCCTCTCTACTTTCTCGCACATATGTGGGTGAAATGATGATACCATGCCAACTTGGAACCTTTTCAGAGTTCATTTCAAATGCTTTTCAATTTCATCGTCTTATAGCACTAGTAGAAAAAGGACCTAATATGAGACACATTAGTGCCGGTTTGATTTTGAGCCGGCACTAATGTGTCCATTAGTGCCGGTTCCAACGGCTAGCCGGCCGTTCTCATTAATACCGGTTCGTGGAGAACCTTTAGCACCGGTTCGTGCCACGAACCAGTACTAAAGAGAGAGGTGGCAGGGTGTTGTCAGTCTGGGGCCCCTCCAGCACCTTTAGTACCGGTTCGTGACACGAACCGGTACTAAAGGTCGACGTACATAAACCCGTCCACCCGAGCCACTCTGTTCTTCCCCTTTCCCCTCACTTCCTCTGTTCTTCCCCTCTCTTCCTCGAGCTCCTCACAAATTTTGCCCAAAATTTGTCAAGTTTTGAAGGCCCCCATCCATTCAAATGATCACGAAGGTTAGCAACTTTGTCATTTCAACTCTCATTTCTAGATTAGCTCTTGCAATGCTTTGTATAGTGATTAATTTGGGAGGAATTATATTTGCTAGTATTTGATTTGTATGCAATTTGAGGTCAAAAATAACACTTAGTTTGCACATGTAGGTGTGGTTTACTTAGTGCCTTCTAA